CATTCCCTGGTCCATTCCCTGTCCTTCCCTCCCCAGGCTGACGAGCCCATCGCGGATTACGCGGCCATGGACGACGTCATGCACGGTGAGCGGGGTGGGGAAGGGCTGCCCGAGGATGGGCGTGGGAAGGTGGAACGTGGGGATTGTGCCACTTCTAATGCCTTCCTTCCCTTTCCATCAGTTTGTATGCCTGAAGAGGGATTTAAAGGTGAGTCCAGGTGTTTTTTCCCCTTTGAGTCCCCTCACATGAATCCCACCCCATCCCCTTCCCCTCCTCATCTGCTGGCGCTCTTTCCTTCCCAGGGACTGGTTTGCTTGGCCACTGATGGTTTTCCAAGGAGGAGCCACCAGAAGGGAAGAGGATTTGTCACATGGTAGGGCATTAAAAGAATAAAACCAGGTGGATACAGTACTTTTTGACTCTTCCAGAAGGCAAAAATCCATCGTGAGACGTTTGCTCCCCCCCAAAAAAAAAAAAAAACAAAACAAATGCCTTATGTCAAAGCAGATTGCACTGAAGGACATCCTGCTTCAGGACAACGTTCCCGGGTTTATTTAACAAAGAACAGGAAGGTTGGGAAGTTGAGCAGCAGCATTGGTGTGTGTGGCACAGGGCTGGTGCTGCAGGAGCTCCAGCCCACCCTGATCCCTCGGCAGGAACTCTTTAGGATAATCCTGCCTTTGATCCACTCCCACCCTTTCAGTCCAGCATGGAAGCACAGGAGTTGTGACTTCATGAGGAATGTCTGGCGCTCTCAGACAGCCAAACTTCATTTTCCTAACCCAGAATGGAAGCTGGGATTTGGCTCCCAAGCCCTGCCAGGCCTGGGAGCCGCCCCCTCTCCGCGTCCTTCGCTGTCACCTCCACGCCTTGGACAATCCTGTAACCACCTGGGCTCTGGGGACTGGGGGGTTTTTTAGAAATTTGGGATATTTTCATGATTCTGGAGAACATTTTCCTCCAGTCTGGCGCTGCTGGGAGCGTTCCTGGCTCAGGGCAGTCAGAGCTGGCCAGGGGCTGCGGGTGGGTGCTGGGTTTCCCATGGGAAGAGGTTTTGTTACTCCTC